TTCTTCTTTCTTCCTTCCCTTCCATCATTTTTTGCTAGATTACAAAGTACATGTCTTCAGCAGGGCTATGTGTCAGCCATTCATGTTGTGATACTGGAACTGCACAGAGATGACAAGACAGTGCTGGAGGATGTGGGTCTCAGCAAGGCCCAGCTATCCGCAGGGAGCAGAGCCTGGAGCAGTAGGCTGTGTCTACATGGGCTATCTGCAAAGCATGCAAAATCAAGCATTTGCATTGATTATTGCAGATTTTTTCCCCACTCAGATAAGGAATATAATAAAATATGCAATCAGACACACACATAGCCCAAAATSGGACTTCCACTCCATAACCATAAATTAGAGGAAGATCTAAGGACATCATTGACTGAGGCCAGACAGGTATTTTCCACAAGAACCAAGTTGGAGGGAGTTGCTGCATTAAGCAATTTGTCTTGCAGTACAGAAACTCTGCAAGTTTTTCAGCCTCGAAAAGTTTGTTTCTGTAGCAGCTGTAGCAACAGTCAGGTTAGAGTGCCCCATTGGCTTAACAGCAAAGAAAGTGTTTCTGAATTTGTCACAGATGCTGCACTGACCTTACTTTTCACTTTAGTATTGGGCAGAAGGTTCAACTAAGCAATGTTCAAGCCATGACTTTCACTGCACAGTGACTATCCCATTCCATCTTAGCRAGAAAGTAAACCAAGGATGAAGCAAGGTCCTACAGAACCATGGGTTTGTGCACATCTGACTGTGAGAGGCCTCAAATCCCATTGCAGATACAACAAAAGCAACACGGAATAATACATTACAGGAGGAAAAAAAACCACACACACACACACAACAACACCCACACAACACAAAGATTCTTAAACCTCGCTGTATAAAAGGTAKAGAGCTTAGCAGGAAAGAAACACCTCCTCGGTAGTGGCCAGATGGTTCTGCAGACCTGGCCAAGGCAAGGTTTCTCCCACTCGGAGCAACAGAAGAGCCATTACTGGGTCCCCAGGTATCAATATGCAACCCTATTCAGGCAAGACTTAAAGAGAAGAAACAAAAAAACAAAAACCCACCCAGCAATCATCCATGCCTTTTCAAATCCAGCTTCCCCAAAGCACAGTTAAAACCCCATACATATACCACCAAAGCCAGACACATGCTGTGTGTGCTGCACACACAGGAAAGTGAGATATAGGCCAGCAAAAACACCATCACACTCAGTCCACACTCAGATTGATGGGACTTCTCATGCAGCTGAGAAGCTCTCTAGCCCTCTTTACTGAACTGCTTTCCCCTATGGATAACAGGGCAAAATTTCCTTGCAGAAACTGTCACTCCTACAGATCTGCTACASAAGCAGCAGCTTCCTTCATTTCCACTTGCTTGGACCAGCAGAGGAGCAGACCTAACTCGCACAGTCAGGTYTGTGCTTCCGCAATGCCCATCACTGCAACATAATGCTAGATTACATAGAAAGCTGAAATACTACACATGTGTAGTCCAATAATCTTATTCTCCTACAAAGCTCATCCTCGGGATGGTAAAAGTTATACCCAAATCTTCTAGACATCCTTCCTATGTTAAACTAGATATTGAAATTCAAGCAAGTCATACATTTAAAAAAGCTGATACTATGGAAACTCTTGCTGGTGGCATTATGTGCCACTATATGGTTCATGCCTTCAGCTTTAGTTGAAGGGATAAAAATTCAGCATCAGGGCTGTGATATGCCTAACCCAGGAGAGTTTGGGGTTTAAGAAATATGTTCTTAGAAAAGYTAAAACACAATTTCTCTAACAGAGCATGTTAGACGAGCACACCAAAGTAGGTGAGGTTCTGTCACCAGTAGCTTATGTTTTTATTTTATATATGTATGGAAGAGCAGCTGTTTCCTATTTGTCTCTTCAGGTCAATTCTAAAAACTAAGGAAAGAGTAAAACCTTTCCTATTTTTAGATTCCAGAGAGTATGCTGCAGCCGCAAGTTACAGCAGGGCATTTCATGTCTATGTGCAGTCTCAAGGGCAAGACCATAACGCTGGAGTTCAGAGCTCCAGCCTTCCCTGTTTCTCTGCATGCCCATTAAAAAGCCTGGCTGTTGAGCATCAGTATGTGGACTTAAGGACTATAACTCAAGTTCAAGGATATTTCCTGAGGACAACTGCATTTCTGGACCCTTTAAACTCCTGCATAACCCCCCTCCCCATTTACATCTTCACACACCATGTGGTTCAGTGCAGCATGATACGAACTGCACAAAGCAGATAGGCCACATTAAAAGTGCACACAGGGGAATCATTCTGAACTTCAGACACTTCTTGCATTAAACAGCCCAACTCCCTTGGCTCCATAAGCAAAGGCAGGGATATTATGGGTATGAATAAAAGTTGCCACAATAACCAGGCTTGTTCTGACAGCAGTAACACCCAGTATGGACAATGAGGAGCCCTCAGGCATGGAAGGAAGGAGGCTTCCCTAGCTCAGACACTCAATACGTAAGTTAGAGCTTTTTTTCCCCTTCAGCTACAACAATTTCTTTTAAAGAGAGGGCACATGAACATTTTAACCTCTTTATTAGCCCTGCAACCAATGCATTTGTTGTCAATATCCCAAACGCAGACATTCCTGCTCATGCTCACCAGTGCATTTCCACACACTGCCCTTTTGGACACCACACCAAACCACTGGCCAAAACCAGACTACATCACTGAGCCAAATAAGCATTAGCTCTTTTTTTATAGCAGAAAATGTACCATCCAATAAAATAACAATTAAAAAAACCCTGCAAGGTATGGCCATCACTATGGGTGACCTGYCTCAGTTTTGGGAGGTGGATTTTACTCCCCGATGAGAGTGTTCTGGTCGCCCCAAATTGTAGCATATCCAGAGTGCTGCAGCAGGCAGCCGTGGACAGCCCTGTGTGCTGCATTACCACAACATGAGCTTTCATTTGCAGGGCTCCAGATGCCAGCAGCAATTCCAGCTGAGGACACATGAGTTGGGAGTGGGCTGGGAACCAGCCCTGGATGGTGGCTTTGAATTAAGGGCACAAGGAGCAAGAGGAGGGGGGAAGGGAGCCCCTGAAGATAGACGCTTATTTAAACCGGCTGTTATCCCACTCTAAACACTCACAAGTACGAACAAATGTATGAGAGTCTAGAATGACTAAAAGCTACCAGGCACCCAGGAGTTAAAGTACACAAAGGACATCTATACAAACACTTGCCAAAAGTCTCATTTTTCCAACTTGGAGTCTGGCTATTCCATGGATGGCAGGAGAAGGGAATCTATCTTTTTATGTGACAGGCTCTRCCTCCTTGCCTGAAAATTCCCCAATTAACACTTCTACAAGAAGTCTGGAAGTTGTGCACRGCCACGTATTTATCTACGCACATCCCCTCCCCTCCCTACTGAGTTCTGGGCCACGGGCTGTGCTGTCAAGCCAAGTTTCATCCCAAGCAATTTTTAAATGCTCATCCTATAAATCCTCCAAAAAAAAAAAAAAAAAAAAAAAAAAAAAAAAAAAGGAGTTAGTAATGGAAACGCTGACAGAGACTCGAAATGACAGCAGGGCAGCTATATCATTCTGCCATACATAGCTTCACGAGCTGCAGATCTTCTCTCCTTCACCTTAGTTTTCCATTAATACTTTGGCTAATTAACACACAAAATCTACAAAACGTTCTTAGAGTGGAAGGCAACATTTGGCCCCCAGCCCAAGTCAACAGGGAGAAACTTCAACATCCTCGGCCAGACACAGTGACTGTCCCAGATGGAGCCAACAGAGCTATGAGCAGCGAGGAGGGAAACGAAAGCAGGGCAACACATGCAAAAAAGAAATCTGACCATTAGAAAAAGGAAGAAGCAAACTTGTCTTACCGCTTTCGTTTTTCTCTATGACATCCACGACCTCTCCAGCYTGCAGGCTAATTTCAGAGTTCTCCTGCTTCTCATAGTTGGACACCACCACATATTGCTCCAGGATCATGGGTTCGGAGCTAGCATCAGCACCTGGGGAAGGGAAAAAGCAAGCTGTAAGCCAGCTTCCAGCCATGGCTCCTCGAGAGCGACCTCCGTCCATCCGAGTCACGACAGGCCAATTTGTCACCGGAGCCAAGCGAATCAAACAACCTGGGCTCGCAGCATCTCCCCAAATGGCTGGCCATATAGAAACAGCCTCCTCTGGCCCACAACCCAACAGCACAGAGGGACATTGGAGAAAAGCAGCAGCAAAAGGGGAAGAAAAAAAAATAATAATAAAAAGGAGCCAAGTAGTGAATTAGTTGCAAAGTTTCATGATGGATGCTGAAAATAAACCTCTTCCCAACATGGTTTCCACAATCCTTGCTGCCATTCAGAAAGAAAAATCCTGGGTAGAAGCAGCATAAATCCAGAGCTGAGCCATCCCCCCAGTAAACCAAAAGAAAGAACAGCTCTCCCCTTGGCGTCTCGGCTCCTTCTCCACTCTAATGGCCGGAGCCGCGAGTCAAGAGGGGGCTGGAGATGCCAATCATATTCGCTGCACTACAGTCCTTAAATAGAAACACATGAGCAGGACTGAGAGCAGGAGGAGGGAGAGGGGAAGGCGGGGAAGAGTGTTTACTTGAAACAGAAGAAAAAAAGGAGTCGGCGAGCGCCAGAGCCGCGCTAGCCGGGCCACCCCCTCCTGCTCTCCGGTTCCGCATTCCCTGTGGAAGAAACAGCCCCTGAGCGCGGGAGCCACCAACGGGACAGGCACCCGTGGAGGGGATGCATGACCCGACTTCCCCCGTCTCTTTTCTGTTGGATTTTGGGGGTGTTTTTGAGCAACTTTTGCAGCTGTCCCACTTTCCTCCCCCCACCCTACGGAAGGGTTGTGGCTCCTGGAGACCTTCATGAATGAGTGTAGGAGCTCGTGAGCACAGGGACCAAGGAAAGCACAAAATAGCCATTCCTCTCTTGCCCAGACACTCATGCTCAAGCTCCTTCCTTTTGTGAGAGGAGGGGACTCTTCCCTAAAGTAAAAAATAATAAAATAGGGCATTTTAGGGTGGAGCAGACACCAGGAGCGCTGCGGACCCAGAGCGAGGGAGACAWCCCTGCACTGCTGCTCCACACAGCGCAGCTCACAGCGCTGCACCAACCCAGCCACTGTGCACACATGGACACCCCATGGACACCCTTCTGCCTGCCAAGGGCCACAGAAAGCCTCACGGACCTCTCAGACACCAGTTTTTCCTCAATTTGTGCTGCAACATTTGAATGCTTTTCAAAGCGTTAGGCCAGAATTAAAAGCATCTGCAGCTGCTCTGTTAAGAGCCACCAGACGTATGTTTTATTATGAGAAAAATCTTATGGGTTTCCTGAATTGCAGCACTGCCTAAGGCAGGGCAGCAGCAGTACCTTACATGTTTTATATAGTAAGAGATAACCCTGTCTCTCTCGACTTCAAGAGATAGATGGAAGAAGAGACAGAAGCTGATGCGGGACTTGCTCAGAGTCCCATTGCACATGACAGGAGCAGAGCCAGGGGCAGAATCCAGGTCTCTTGAATCTCTGGACAGAAATTGGCCAACAGAGGCAGGAAGGAAGCAGCAAGGTCTAGCAAGCTGTGCGCTCTGCAGACCAGGGGACTGTGGGCCAAAAACATGCTCAGCACTGTATATTCAACAGCAATATATGTTCATATTTGATTGGGCTGAAGATGTAAAGTGATTCTACAGACAAGTAATTACTAACTTTACCTTTCTTTTGGCAAAGAACACATCAGCCATTAGAAGGGCCTTACATGAGAAGACAAATCTAAACCGGAGTTGTTTGATCAAACACCGGAGTGTTTGACTTTTCTGGAAGTCAAACACTGTCACAGAGCCTCCCTTGAGGACAAATTTCAGAAATCCAGAGAAATCAACTTTCATACTACCTGAATGTGACAGCGCAAAAATAAAAGTTCATAAGAGGAATGTTCTCTGGAAGACTGCTTAGCTCTTTGATGGATGGTTGAACCGGTCAATAGCGGTAATGGAAGGGAGAAGATAGATGTGACAATGTTAAAATAATTAATCAAAATTTCCATCGTAGCTGCCCACTATAATAAGCATCATATTTCTCTTCATGATAAAGCAGCTTGACTTCTATTCCTTGGTTTAAACCATTGCTAATTGGTTTATTTGTAATGCAGCAATCTGCCTTCCCCATTTCACACTGATTCCCATGGAGCAGCTTCTCCAAGGAGGAGGAACAGCGTTCTTCCCTTCTATTCATGCAAGTAGCCACTACAAGCCTACCTGATTTTATTTTCAGGATAAATATGGGTTCTCCATCTGCAATCCCAATCCATCTTGGCAGGATGCACATGTACATTCATCAAGTGAGCATTTGGTGGGTCAAAACGCAAGAGGARGGACTGAACAGTTGCAGAGCAAGGGACAGTCAGGGCAGTTACTAACCACACATCCCTAGTGTCTTCTCTCCCCTGATCTCCTGGGCAATTTCCAAGGGGGTAGGAAGGACAGTGCAAACCTGGGCCATTTCCACGGGGGCAGGAAGGACAGAGCAGAGCCCCAGGCTCGCTGGCTGCTCATGTGCAGCACCAGCCCCATGGGGAAGAAAGCAGGGCCACGAGTGCAGCGTGAACTGGCAGAGCTGCTGCAATCGCTCCCCGATATCCGAGCCCAGCAACAGATGCCAGAACAGCCTTGCCAGAAAGCGGGAAGAGGGAGCGCTTCTAAACTACTTCCTCAATTCCTCTCCAAAATAAATAAATAAATAAATAAAAGCCCAGCAAGATAGGTTGTATCTGCAGGCACGTATCTGAAGCCCAGCAGGACTTTACGATGTGGTTTACTGTATCCTGCCTTGGAAGGATAAAGCCTTCCCTGCAGGAGGATTTCTTTGTTACTGCAGCAACGGGTGTTACATGCAATTAAGAAACAAGCTTCTGGTAGAGAGGTCTGAGGGTTACACGGTTCCTATTAACAGATTTATCACCTGAGGAGAATGGGGTGAAAAATTCCTTGGTCTAGGAAGTAACCAGGATCAAAAGAAATGATTCCTTTACAGCTGCAGCAGATCCTGCCCAGCAGATGCCTCCTTGGGAGCAGCAGGGCCTGCGCGCTTCCCGTGTCCTGGAGCAGAGCTGCTGCCCACAGGCTTTGCCTTGGGCCCCTCCAGGAACGGGCTGCACAGCAGGGAAGACTTGAGCAAGGCCAAGGGAAAGGAGGGAGGAAAGGAGAAAGAAAAAAAGATCTTCTGCCAGTACTTAGAAGCCTCATGTTTTTTGGAGGGAGAGGAGAGGAGATGCCAGAACAGCCTTGCCAGAAAGCGGGAAGAGGGAGCGCTTCAAAACTACTTCCTCAATTCCTCTCCAAATAAATAAATAAATAAATAAATAAATAAATGCCCAGCAAGATAGGTTGTATCTGCAGGCAGATTTGGAGAGGAGATTTGGAGATGGAGAGGCTCTGTTGTTACTGTATTTCTTTCAGGTATAATCAGTAAAAACTTCAGTTCTCCTCAGCTTTTCCTCCCTCCCAGTCATGTGGGACAGAGAAGCATCTCACCTCTCCTCAGTGAGCCCCAAGCAAGCCACAGCACACAGGGAAAAGGGGAGAACAGGCAGCATCGCCAGGACTGCAGCCCCCAGGTGCACCCATCCCTGGGACACTTCCAAATCCCGGCCATGGCATCACTTGGGAGCACCACAGCCTGCTCAGCAAGAGCTGTGCCAGACACAGGGACATTCCCGGGAGGTGTGACATGCACACGGTGCCCCGCTCAGAGCCCACTCCGCACGGGTGGCACCAGGGAAAGCAGAGGATAGAGCAAGGCCCACGCGCTCCACAGAGCCCCCCTCCCCTCCAAATAAATAAATAAAAATGGAATTAGTGCTTGGGTTTAGCTCCCGCTTGCCAGCCCTCCCCAGAGCAGAGCGCGCGGTAGATTCCGGGCTGAAATAAGAGCTTGCTTGCCTCTCCGGGTATCCCTGCCTCGAGTCCGGTTCCTGGTCAAAGCCTTCAGGACAGCCCTCCTCCTCCTCTCCATAGGGCTCCACTTGACAATTCAGGCGCTCCTCACCTCAGCGCTCGCCCTGCCGGCGGCGGGCAGCAGCGTCATCGGAGCTCGTCCGTGCTCCCCGCAAGGAGCTGCCTCGCTACCGAGGGACACGGCTGCACCCTGCGCCYGGGAGCGGGAAGGGGGGAACATTATTCCCCCCCCCCGGAGCACTCAGGGATCGGCAGCGACCGTTGGAGTCGCCTGAGCAGGAGAGCTGCGTGCCAGCTCCAGGCAGCTCCTTCCTCCTCCTCCGCTGCTGTTGCGACAGCGGAGACCTAGGAGGGTTTTGCAATAGCCAAAAATTCAAACCAACTGGACGCAAAAGAAAAAAAATGTCTGGATATGGAAATCTGAGAAGTCTGATCTCTGCCAGACTATTCAGTTGTTATCAGGCTATAAACATGTCCGCTCTTTTTTGGAAAAAGAGCACGCAGATTTTCATACTGCCCTTTCCAGATTACCAATCAAGTGTTTACAGATTCAGACTAAATTAGTTAGTCCTGGGCTGGTCAGTAAAGGTTTTTAAAAAGTCCAAACCGCAGCAACGGCCAGGGAAGGCCACAAGTGTGAGTCACAGCTGAGCAACTGGCAGGTAGCGCCGCTTCAGAGGCCCGGCCCTCAGCGGGCTCAACTGCTGTGGACACACACAGGGCCTGTCCATGGGTATTTGGACAAATGCCCCATTGAGAGCATCACTATTTTCCATATAACAAAGACAGAGCTTAGCTTCTTCCTGCATACAGTGAGAAGCAACTGTGATGTCTTAGATCTAGATCTGTGGTTACTTGTTAAAGTCAACTCTTCAAGGGCCGCCCCTCACGCATCTTTGGAGACTCTTACCAAAGGCGAAGTTGCTCAGATGTCCRAGCCATATTACTCCTTCACAGTTACTGCAAGTTCATCTCTCAACACAGGATGCTTTGGGGGTTTATCCCAGGACAAACCAGTTCTCCTTGACTGCAAGGATCATGCAAGTATTATAAAAGCACACATTCAACCTGAATGTTTTCCTCAGCTTTTTACCAGTGACCTATCCCCAAATATCTTAAGATAGATGGCTTAGATCTGGAGAACAGCAGACAAGAGCTCAAGATCTCTGTGGTCTCAGAAAAGCACAGCTCSTGAAACAGCCATTTCCTAGAGTAAGCAGTGGGGCAAGACAGACTCAAAACAGGTTTCAAAACAGATCTCTAACTCCATGATTTCTTGTCTCCTCTTCAGTTTACTTGTTTGGAGCACAAAAAGAAATCAAGTCTTCAGCTGTTCTTCTGGACACTCCTCTTCTGTAGTGTCACTGTTCAGCCACCTTCTCACTTCTCAAGCTTCAGACCATAGCTTCACGTCAGTTATTCCTGGATGTAGTAGGCCACTCATGGGTTGTGGCAATAACTAAGTAGGATCCATCTCAGCCTTCTCTCAGATAGACCTTTGTGGYGCTATGCAGTGCAGGAGACCTTTACATACATAGACCTTGACATGTACATGTTGTATGAGAGAAGCAGCCAGCAATAGTAAGCATTTAACTCCAGAAATCAGCATTTCTTGGTACAACAGTCTTCAGTCATGAAGCTTTAAGAGCAGAGCCAAATTCTAGCACTGTCTGTGACGGTCAAAGGAATTCAGTACAATTTCAATTCAGTTAAGGTCTTAGTAATAACATAGCACTGTCAAAAAGCTTTCTTTCATTATAGCCCTCTCCAAATATTTAGTTTCCCCTATCAAATGGGTTATTAGTGCATTATTATTTTAATGAAGTCGGCCAACTAGTTCCTGTAATAAGAACAATGCAATTATTTTACTTTTTCAGAGAAGAGTTTCAGAAGCAGGTAAAGTTCTTCTGATAGGCAGAGATGAAAAGCAGAAAAGGAAAATCTGTCCATTTAAGTAACTCAGAGCCAAAGCCAGAGAAATGTTAGATAAGGTTTCTAATCCRCTCTGTCAAATTGTCCAAAAAATAGCACAAGGTTAAGTGCTGTCCATCCGGTGGTGAGTAGGTCAGCATGCAAACAGACTCATCTTAGCAGTAATAACTAATATACAAGAAATTTCTGAAAAAGTGAGGTTTTTAATAAGCCACTACCTACATGAAACTAATCCCACAGGCATTCATGCACACACCCTCCTCAACTCCAAAGCACTCGTGTCCTGAAAGCATTTCAGCAGATGGGGCAGTGGCTTCCTCACAGAGCAGCTCAAACTCCAGCCTTCCTCATGATCCGCTGGCTACGCAGGCAGAAATCTGGTAAAGTCAGAAACTCCGTGAGCCATTAACTCCCTCCTGGCCCCCTTGGAGGCACCTCCAAGGAGATGGAGCCAACAGCCGCGTGCGTCGCCGGCAGGAAGGGAACATAGCCTGCCATCGTGGCTGCACAAGGTAACTCAACTCTTGGACGGGTTCCCAAGCATAAGGGGTRCACAGTCATTTCTAGCATTTGCAAGAACCAAGAGCTGGATAMGCCCTCGTGAGCTGGAGCTAAGTGGCAGCCTAAACATAGGCCACAGATTCCAGCAGCGCAAGTGCGTGCTGGACRCACAGCTAGAACCAGCAGCACAAGGCAGCTCCCATTGGGAATGGGTCAGGAATGAGCTTGGCCCATGGTAAATGGCAAGGGCTCTCCTAGGCAAGTGCTCCTTTTCAGTCTCTTCCTTCTTTACGGTCCTCAGCAAGTTTTCCAACAAAAGTCTTGACAAATGGAGAAATTCAGTATTGACTTTTRCCAAGTAGAGCTTGTTAGTCTCAGGGCCTTTTTTTGATCTGTTAGGTTTTAAGACAGAGCCAAGAAAAATTAGAAGCAGGAAGGTGAAAGAGGAAAAAAGAATCTGAGTTCTCTTTCCACTCCTTGGAAAGCTGGCTCTCTCAACTGCAATTCCAACCAACTAGGTTACAGGTAGCAACAGTTAAGAAGAAACTTAAGTATTTTGCACACAAATCTGCTAAACCACTTGGAGATTCACACAGCTGCTAGGCAGGGTTCTCCACCAAGCTGAAGTCACCTATACGTTTTGGCATTCACCTTAGTCCTTAAAGCCATAACTCCCCCCTYATTATTTCACATAGCACATAGGCAACTAGCCAAGAAATTTAACCATAGCTGGCGTGGCCCCAAGCACTCTACCAGCATCTGGGCTGCTTGTAGGGGATGGAGAAGCAGGTTGCTTAGTCATAAAGGTCTGTTCTTCTAGTAATTCTGCAGAGATACCTACTAGGTGCCCACCAGAATCACAGCACCTCTTGGGATCAAGCTGGATGGCAACCACCTGTTTTCAAACTATGGACCTGAAACACATAGAGCCTTCCACACCTCACAAACACTCTTACTTCATGGAGCAGCTTCAGTCCCAAGGCTGGAGCTTGGACAGCACCAAGCTTCTGTTCTAGTCTCCTGACTCCCAGCCTAGCCTGTAGATACATACTATAAAGGGTAAGAATCTCACTTATATCCAGTCTGCTCTGTTGGCCTGTGACACTGAAATACAGCACACSACACAACCCGACTGAGACACGTGCTCTAGGTGTGCCTGCTTGAGCGGGAAGGTTGGACTAGATGATCTCTAGAGGTCCCTTCCAACCTTGAATATTCTGTGATTCTGTGGTAGCCATGCTGGAAACAGTAGGATTACTTTGAACAAGGCAGTGTAAACTGGAAGAGCATGGGGAGCTGAAAACCTGGACAGATTCACTGCAAGACTTCTATATAGGATGTTATCAACATTCTCCATAATTGCACTGCATGGTGCTATAAAAAAAGCCACTTTCATTTGCCCCGTCATGCACAAGCTTTTTGAAGCCAAACTAGCAACACACACTTCACTAAAACCAATTGACAGAAGGGAAGGAATTTATATCAGTTAGGTTTTTACCTCCTTGCCCTTTAGAAAGCTCGAAATTCTTAACATTTGACTTGCCATTTCACAGATGGCAACATGCTTCCCTCCTGCCCACTCTTACCCTGTTACCCTATTGTCTGGCCATGGAAGAAATACCAACAGATTCCTATCTACTGCTGGTAACATCAAGGTGAAGCAGACACCAGACCAGCAGAGCTCTTCCATGTCGAAACACGTAACACAAGGCTATGACATAAGATGACTGCAGTCCTAGATGTTTAGGGTCAGACTTACATTAAAGAAAATCCTCAAGAAAACAGTTCCTACTGCAGATTTTTTTCTAAGAGCATGCAGAAAAATACACAGCAATTTACCTGTGACACTTTTTTTTGGTGTCTCAGACAAACTGGACATCCAAACTTGAAATCCAAGAAGGCAGGCATAAAAAGAGAAAGTAGTTAGAGAAACAGGAAAGGAGTCATAAGTCACAGCAAGTTTGAAAACTACAGTCAGAACAGCTTTGAAAGAAGTGTTAATTCTCTTTACAGCAACGTTGGAATGATGGGGACTTAGCCAAAGGGCAAGACATAACAACTCTCCAGTCAATTACTTTTAGGTAACTTGCAGGACTTACGGAACTTACTTGTTGTGACCCAAATTGAGATCTGGGAGTAAATATGCTCTGAGCTTATTCCCAATAGAGCAGAGAATAGAAACTATGAGACGTTTGACTCATTAGACCTTAGTCCTGCAAAAGTACTTAGCTTTACAACTGTTAATGATCCCCATGAAACCAACAGACAACTCACAGAAACGGAGCATAGCAAATACATGCAAGTACAAGCATTTTCTCAAGCTAAAATAATATTAAGATAAAAATAGATAAGTCATACACCACAAAAAAAAAAGGTTCACAAGTCCAGTAAAGGTGCATTCAAAGCATTAACAGCAACATTTGTTTGACAGGGAGTACTGGGAAGAAATCTGCTAAGGAGAAAATTAATACAGGTATCAACAAGATCCAAAGAATTCCCTCCCCAGTGCATGAAGTGAGGTGTAAATATTCAGCTTGGGATTCTGGGAATAGTTGTCAAGCATTAGTTTTTATTTGAAAAAAATGAGAAGTTCTTTTTAAAAGTTATCCATTTTTTTCCCATTTCAAAGAGAGAACCAGTATCACAAACATTGTTCCTGTTGCATGGGAAGAGGGAGCATAAGGAAAGCTGCTATTCTCACAAAGCCTGGGAGATAAGTCAAGGGCAAAAGAGATGTTTATACAGTAGGCTAAGAGCCTCCTGAATTCTCAGGGAAGCAATTCAGAAAAATGCAGCATTTCAAAGTGATTTTCAACTTGGAATCCAAACTGTCAGTTTAGCAACAGGTAAGATGCAGCCTTTAACCACGTGAAGGAGAAAAGAGCTATATATATATACACACACATATATATATATATATAGAGAGAGAGAGTGTTGTGGACTTGTCTGTCTGTCATGCTCTTTGCCTTTTGAGCAACAGAATACCTTCAAGACAGCCAAGATCAGTGAGCTTCCTAGTATGYGTTGCAATTTCTCAGTTACACACTAAAAAAACATAATAAACAGCTTTCAAGGATTCTGTTACTGAGAAGCAGAGCTATATTTCATCAGCATTAAGGTAAAAGGATTTCAAAGCCTCACTRTAAGACAGGCCCACAATTTTCAGTGGGTTCCAGCAAAACTAGGGCTCAAATAGATTTGGCATTCTGCTCAAATTCGTCAGTTCTCAGTGGTGGCTACTGAAAAAAACCCTCAAGACTTTCAGCCACTTAACCCCCAAACCCACACATTGCACGGCCACAATACACTGGGATAAAAATTTAGATGATTCACTTTGGGCTGGGATTACCAGGTCCAGGACAAGGATCTTCACTGGTAAAGTGCAACAGGAAATCATCTAGCAGAGGGTGACATGCTCTAGCTTATAGGGGGAATATATGGCACGTTTGTACCACTCACTCAGGGCACACACTGCATAGGGTGTGAAGGAGCTGTTGGCAGCAACTGCCTATCAGTTTTAGCATACACTTCCCATTGGCCTCAAAAGAAGGTGATGAACTTCTGTCTGGAAGCTCTGACAGTTGAAGCTGACCATGGCAGCAATAAATCAATCTCAAAATGTACTGTAGGAACGACTGGGAAGATTTCCAATAAGCAGTTTGCCCCACTCCGAGCTGGCAAGAGCCCACAGCAGAACACCCTGAGGGAGCAGGATGCATCTGGCAGGGGCTCAGGGCCCTACTCTTTGCCTGCCCCAGAAGGGAAGAAGTTTCAAGTTAGACTCACAGCAGCTCTGTCTACAAACACCCCTCTGTGCAAGAGGGCAGAGTTGATATCAAGCCAACACCTCTGTAAAAAAAAAAGAATTTTTTCCCCCTTAATATTTTTCCTTTTTGCCAAAGCCACTGATCTAGAGCAGCATAAGCAGCACAGCCCAGGCAGTAACCATTGAATGTCGCTGCTGGTCCCCAACCCGGGCGCCCAGCCCCAGGAGCAGGGCACAGGAGCGGCGCTTTGCAGCTCCCCAGCCGGACAGCGGTAGATGTGGACGAGGCTGCTTCTGAAGCAGAAGACAGCGAGCATTTTTCAGCTGCTCCTGCACATCTGCTTAGCATTAAACATCCTTCTTGGGGATTTTTTTTTTTTTTATTCCAAGACATTTAAGCTCTAATTGCTACCAGCTTCTAAGAGTTCCCCCTACAAATAATAAAAATATCAGAYATTAGTGATGGATTCCACTCCACAAAGAGCTCCAGGGAAGGGCTGCGGAGGGCGCGCGGGTGCAGAGGGGAGGTCAGAGGCCCCAGCGGCGCATCGCGCTGCGCCAACAGCGCACAGGCCTGAAGCGGCCCTGGGTTTCCCCTTCAGGACAGCATTTTACTGGAATCCAGCACAAGGCTTGGAACAGTTTTCCAAYGGGATTGGTAACTGTAAGTGAACAAACCCTCGCTTCCTGCCCCAGCACCTCCCTCTGCGTTGAGGAGAGGCAGTTGAGCTCAGATGACTTGAGGAGGGGGTGGGGGGAGAATCTCAGYCCTTGGAAGGGAAATTAAAGTTGCCGGCTCAAAGCAAACGGCTCCTAAGGCAACAGCAGCCTGAGCAAGGTCCTGACTCCAGCCCCCAAGATCCTTGCTGCTGCTTTCAGCTGGGATCAGATCTCCTCCTCCAAATGGAATTATTTTTAAAGGCTTAAAAGAAACACAGGTCCATAAATTACTGCTCAGCCAGGGAGCCCAGGCAGTTGCAGAGGGTGTTAAGGAGGTTCCCTCTTTAGAGCCACGTTGCACAGRAATAGCAGCAGGGTGGGCAGCTCTCCAGGAACGGCTGCTGAGCCCCATCCTGCTCCAGCGATGGGAGCCTGGGCATGGGTCAGCTACACCGCTCAGGTGGGCAAGGGAAGAGGAAGTTTTAAAGCACTTGTCCATTAAGCCGCTTTCATCCTTCGGGTTCTCCACAGCAACTGGCTGCTTTATTTAGGTTCCACCAGAAACTGTTTTGCTGCCACTGAGCCTGGTTTGACTGCTGCTCCTCTCACCGCTGGCCAGTGCGCACCTGGGATGTGCTCCCACCCCGCTCGTTTCAGTGGCAGAGGATTCGTCTTGCTTCCAGCTTGGGCACAACAAGCTTTAGGACAGCCTGCAAGAGCTGGAGTTGGTCTAGAGCTGACTATAGGAGCTTACCCTGCCCAACAGAGGATGTCACATCCATGGTTCACATCGATACTGCATGTTGAACTTAGTCCTGGTCCGTCAGCCACCAAGCAGCTCTGGTGCTGCAGCCCTCCTGCCAGCAGGCTTGTCACAAGGCTGCTCTGCTGGCAGCGTTGCTTGCTGCACCAGCACTCAGTACCAGGCTGGCATCTATATTTTAACACTGCTGTAAAAGCTAGAAGGACCACGTGCCTAAAGACTCACAGGCTGCACTTGCTGGGGCTGATGCCAGCAGCTTTCACCAGTATTTAGGTAGCATCCTAGCCTATAAAGCTACAGCTAGGAAGCTACTGCCCAGCAATACCCGATTCCTGCACGAGTATGACCATYGAGTCACAAGTCTCAGCAGTTTTAGTTCTGGCCACTTGGGCACAGTGCAAGTTGCACTGGCCAACAGCTATTTGCAACAAGCAATCTGGACAGAGCTAGATTGTTTTGAAAGGAAAAAAAAAGTTTAATAATCTGGACCTGAGCTCTCCCATGAAGTTGCCTTCCACACCAGAGTGATCCCAGGGCCATTTAATTCAGAACCTTTCAGTATTCCCTGGGAATGGCTTCATGCAAAAAGCCTCCCTGCAGCTGTCTTGCTGCCTGTTGAAGTATCAAGGAGGATAAGAACAAGTGACCTTGCTTTAGACACACTGACATGTGAAAGGCACTGCCTCTTCCTGAGGCTGATCAATTCCACAGGGCATTAGTTCTCC